CACAGCCTGGATATCTGTGTTCTCAGCCAGTTGCTTCAAGGTTAGTATATCCAAGCGCACCAGACGAATGCCAAGCAAAGCAAAGTTGATAAGGAATTCCTCCAAGCAAGACCAGATTCCTTGGCCATCGTCAGGCTCCAGAGGCTGCCTATAATGGATAATCGTCAGCAAAAAAAAGAAAAAAGAGTTCTGCCGTCTTGTCGTAGTCACCGACGACTGGTGTTTCAAAAGGGCTGCTTACCCTCTGCGAAGCAATGACTCCACCAGCAAGGGTAAATCTTCCCAGAAGACTCGCTCATCCACGTATGTTTCATCAGTAAATTGATCCAAGCTCTGTGCAATCTCATCGAACCAGTGCTTCACGGCCAAGAAGACACCAACATCGTGTTGAGTTCCTGCGGGGCCCAGCTCCGTTAGTCCCGAGCAGCTTCAAACCCGCACCCAAATTATTGGATACACTTTGCATACCTTTCTCAATGATTGCGCTGATCCCCTCCAAGTTTTCCCGCAGGTCATCGGCGTCTCGTAGCTTGGGGAAGCTATCACTCAAAGGCGGCTGGCCTTGGAGCTGCTTCACCTCTGATGTGACAGGGTCCCGCAAAGCTCCCCCGAGCGTTCTCCACGTCGAAGTGTTGGGGTCCTGATCCATATCTTCCAAGTCGGCCACCTCAATCTCCGGACTCTGTGCAGGCGTCGACGATATCGAGACCACTTTGGGGGAATCAGCGGCTAGGGCAGCATTAGGCGGACCGGCGCCAGTATGCTCGGCGGTAGTGTCTAAGGAATCAGTCGCCATGGTATCGGAGGTAGGAGATTTCACATTGATGGTCACTCTGCTGGCGGGGGCAGTCGACGCAGGGACGTCGTGATCTGTCGTTCCGGACGTGGCAGGAGCAGCCGACGTCGGCTTGGACATTCGAGAAATGGCAGCTTCGTCTATCGACAACGACTCAACGGCACCGCTTCCACTATCGAGACGCGGACGTTTCCGGGTAGATTGGGGATCGAGATCTTCCATGGAATCGCCGTGTGGACGCGTCGAATCGGTGGATTGAGTAGCGTCAGGCGGGGTGCTAGAGCTGTCTAGCGGGGCAGCTGCCATGACATTTTCTCTACCTTCTGGTCGGGGTGTGAGGGAAATTTGAGGTATAATAGGAGGATGTAGTAATGGTTGATAAGTTGATGTCTACCCACAAACAGATAAGATAATAAATTCTCTCTGCGTATGGGGTGAGAAGACAGAAAAGAGAAAGTGTGTGAGAGTATGCGCGCGAAGCGCAGGAGGGTATGTGGGTATGTCAATGGACTATTATGTAGAGAGTGGAAAGCAGAAAGCTACATAGATAACCACCAGATAGAAAGAAAAAGTGAGGTAGATAGGCAGCTATCACTCTAATCAGTGAGACGACGATGATAATAATCACAAGTTTGGCGGAAGAGCACAAACCAAAGCAAACACCACCAAATCAAAAAGCTCGGACTTGGAGAGCTGAAAGAAGAATTAAACCTAGAATTAAGAACAGGCAGCTCTGACGTTGTGGTGGAGAAAGGCCTGGTGGGTCACCCTGTGTGAATCAAGCGCTGGTAGGCTACTGTTTTTCTTTGTCCGGAGGCTATGAACACATGAAGCCTAGGTGAGTGTAGGCTGCGTGGAGAAGAAACCCTTGATACAGCTCCTCCTTTAGAGCAGCATTTTGACTGGAAGGAAGACTTGACCTATGTATTGTTAAAAGATCTTTCTGCAGTATAGTATGAAAATACTACCTAGGTGTAGTTAAGACCTCTCCGTAAGGTACTATACTATGGGAAGCATAACACTAAATAATAGAGTACGGAGTACGGAAAACGATTGTGCAATCCCCCGTGTGGCAGGTGAATAAGCTACCTTGTTTGCGGCCCCTGTGAGGATGCTCTTCTGAATATTATTTCTCACTGCAATTAGCGCATCGCAATCACAGCTTTGTATCGTACAAAAGTACCTGGCCGCTGCGAAGGTACCTTACCAATAGGACTTTTCAGGAGTCAACGTCAAAGGATCATTACCTATCATTAAGATTATACATACCCCTTACTGATTCTCATGATGGACCTCATAACGTGCATGTATAGCGTCACGCCTAGCTTAATCTATTAGAATGCGACTGTCATGCTTTGCATTACTTTAGCATTCTTCGCCAATCAACCCGCCAACCAGCTGGAATTGAGAGGTACCTGAGGCTGAGGGGTATTTGGCGTGCTCGGATACTTGCAGTTCTGCCAGTAAAGAATAATAAGTTCTGATGATTTTCTCAGACATCTGCCGCTTGATGGTTCATCCGCAGATAGTTGAATCCATTGTAGAAAGGTATGAACCACAGAGGATCTTCGTCTGATGCTCGTCCAAACCTAAATCTCATGGTCCCCACAGAAGCTTCCCAGACTTCTACTATGGACTTCTAGCGCGCCCAGTTTTTCATCTAAATTGAAAGTTTGATCAACCTCCTCAGTTTATCAATTCCTTGATTATTTCCATTGCACTTGAGCTTTGTTTTCTGCGATATCCATTGGGGCCTCGCATGAAAGTGTTTGTGCTACTTTGAACTTGTACAAGAATGCCAGCATACATTAAGACTGAGAGGTATGCACTTTGTAAAGTGTACGCTGAGGTTTGAAGAGGTGTCATTACTCGGTCATCGATGTCTCAATCTTTCGAATGATCCTAGCTGGATTCCCAGCAGCAAGATGGAAAGCAGGAACATCCTATCACCATCGTTATCAGTCACAAGAACAGAGGATAGGAAAAATGACCACAGCTGCTATGGCTATGGACATACCTTAGTTACTACGCTCCCCGCCCCAATCGTCGCTCCCTTCCCAATCGTAACCCCCGGGAGGACGATCACGTCTCCGGCCAACCAGCAATCCTCGCCGATATGGATTTCTTTTCCCAGCTCCGGACCCTCAGTTCCATTGCGCACAGCGGGGTCCAGCGGATGAATTCCGCTATATAGACTGACGTTCGGACCTAGCATCGTTCGTGCCCCAATAGTGACAAGGCAAGTATCGATGATGACGCAGTTGAAGTTGATGAACACCCCTTCTCCTAACCGCACGTTGAAACCGTAGTCGATCCGGATCGGTGCCTCGACCCATGGCTCCCGTGATAGAAGAGCATCGTCTTCGGCGGGGTCCTGTTTTGGAGGTGGAAGAGGAGTCTTGTCATCGACGATGCTATCGACTATCAGCTGGAGTTCAGTGAGTATGCGAGACATGCTGCTCCCACATCTCAAGGTAGATTGTCGGTGTTACGAGACCATGTTGAGGATTGTTCTCGGTGTCATACACCTTTGAGAAATTTTTTTTCAATATTACTTACTCTTTCCAAAGCTCGATTTGCCGCCGGCGAGATATGTCACCGGCATTGTTGAATCGCTGACAGGCATGTTTACAGCGAGTCCGAACAGCTATCAGTTCTGGAGTGAAGGCATAGTAGAGCTCTCCTCGGAGCATCTTCTCTTTCTCGGACGGCATTCCGGTGAAAGTCATATTACAAAGATATGGATGTGTACAAATCGTGTTCTCTCTTGGTAGACAATGTTCGACTCCAACGATTGAAGCGTCATATTGTGGTCGAGTGGGGAAGTAACAACAATAGCTCAGGGACAATCCTAAAGTTAGACTAATCAATCCTCCCATATCCACAACAGACGCACTGGTATTGTTCTTGATCCGGCATAGATAAACATACACTATTGTTCTCTTTAATTTGCAAAGATGCATTGATATTTCTTTTCTACTTCATCTTCAAGCTCTATACGTCCAGCCAAAGTTATAATAATCCAGACTATGACGCTTCTCTGAGGCCATCACAGCTTCCGCCGACAGACCAAAAAAGCTGCCCAACACCACTACCACTTCCACACGGTCATCCCGACCGAAAAACCAAAATGACCAAACAGACCTCATCCCAGGACGAAAGCGTCTCCTCCGGCAACCAGCCCAACACCAACAACATCAACCACACACCAGGCTGGCGACCCGCGCGACCCGCGCCGCCGCGATCCCGATCCCCTCCCCCCCTCGACCCATCCAACTACCCCAACGGCGAAAAGTCGCTCGCAGGCATATCGCTACGTGCCTTCCTCCTAGGCACAGCCCTCGGCGTCTCAACCAGCATCGCGCTCTACCTCCTCTTCATCTCCCCACACCCGCTGTGGCGCGTCCCCTTCTTCATCTCCTCGCTCGCCCTCTTCCACTTCCTCGAATACTGGGTCACAGCGCAGTACAACACCCGCTACGCCTCGATCTCAGCGTACCTCCTCTCCTCGAACGGCTGGGCCTACAACGCCGCGCACAGCTCCGCCGTCGCCGAGTGTCTGCTCTCGCACACCCTCGGCCCGCGCGATGGATACACTTCCCTGACCGCGTCCGTCAACGGGATCAAGTGGCAGGTCGTGCTTGGAATCGCGCTGATGGTGTGCGGGCAGACGGTCCGCACGCTGGCGATGAAGCAGGCGGGGACGAACTTCAACCATACGGTGCAGGTTGAGCGGCAGGAGGGCCATACCCTTGTGCGGCACGGGGTGTATGCGGTGCTGCGGCACCCCAGTTACTTTGGGTTCTTCTGGTGGGGGATGGGGACGCAGCTGGTGCTGGGGAATGTGGTTTGTTTCGTTGGGTATGCGGCTGTGTTGTGGAACTTCTTTTACAATCGGATCAAGCGTGAGTGTTTTCTTCCGTCTGTTGCTGACTGCTGGTGGATTGGGCTAACGGAAAGTAGGGGAGGAGAAATTTCTGGTATGCTTCTTTGGAGACGAATACGTCGAGTACAAGAAGAGAACTTGGGTTGGCATTCCTGGGATCTTCTGATGCCTATCTTCAAAAGTTTATATCCCATATTTATTTGTACACTTGGAAGAAAATGGAGGATGAAATGTGTATCAATCATATATAGAACGTGCCAGAATGGTATCACCATATACAACCGAACGCCCTGCGCTATAGTCTAACGCGACTGAAGTCTAAAGTTTGCTCTCCGGTGCTACTCCCCCAACTGCACCGCTCATGTAGGCGCCCTCTGCATGACTTCCCGAGTCGACATCTGGAGCTGTATTCCCGAAAAGAACAAGTTCACGACCACCTCTTGTACTCCACCAGGTGACGCAGTAATGGGCACGTTCGACATCCATCTCACCACTACTCAACGCTTCCCAGAAGCGCTCAATGCACATTTCACGCATCTCTGGTGTGCGGATCGTGTGAATAAGATTCGCGGTCAGTGGCAGCCATTCCTCGAGGTCCTCCACTCGCAGAAAACAGAGGCTGTCTATCAAAGCGAGGATCAAGGCAGCTTGCTCGGAAACTGGCGGGGACAGGCCCTGAGCACTTGCTGCTCCTTGCGTGGATTGCGGGAGCATCTTGTCGGATGCGTTTAGAGCTCTTTCGTGTAGAACTTCGAGGAGTATAGAGGGCAGCAACGGCTGACTATTTGCTACGAGTGACGGAGGGGCTGTCACCTGAATGACGGTCTTGAAGGCAAGGCGGAATTGGCGGGCGGATAGATTGTCAGGGAAGACCTTTGAATCATGAGCACAAATCGAAAGACCGGAAAACAAAAGATAGGACTTACAGCAAAGAGATTATCGATGTAGAAAGGAAGATGCCGGGCTGCTATGGCTGCATTCCCCGGAATCGCAAAGACAGCAAGAGCCACACTATGAGCGGCCTCGAAAATCTCGAGCAAATGGTTATTCCCGCCTGCTGCGAGATACGGGAGTGTTGCAGAGATTAGAAGCTCCTCACTGCATTTCGGAGACAAAACAGGAGTGAAAAGCTCGGCGGTATTCAGAAAACAGAGATCCAGACAGCGCTCAATGGGGTGCAGTGGAATTTGACCAAGCTCGCTTGGTTTGACACTCTGTAGGAAATTCTCGGCCAGGTCCGGATACTGCGAAAGGATATCCACCGCCGTGAGGGTCACGAACGTGTGTTGCGAAGATGCGTTTTGACCAAGCCGAGATGAGACAAAGTAAAAGTTGCGGAGGATGTGGAGAGCTTGCATTGAAAGGTAGGGTGCAGCTTATGGAGTCAGTATGCAGAGCACAGCCAATTTTATCAGTACAGAACACTCACTTCTATCAGCTGCAAGTATGTGATCGTTGAGTACCCTTCCCAGGACGGCGCGGAGAACAATCACAACAGAATATAGGCAGTTGCGGAGTAGCTTCCACAGGCTTGGAATAGTAGACTTGAGTGACTCAGGATCCAGAAACTCGAGTTCTTCAGATGCATCGATTTCAGATAATTTGTTCTGGCGCCATTGGACCATTAGCGTGCGACCAAAATGGGCAATCTGATCCACAGATTGAGAAACGAAAGTGGGATCGCTGGCATTTTCAACTGAATGCGCAATCAGTCGCGACAAGGGGCCCAAAGCTGATATCAGAGGACTCGAGATGATTCCCGTCACCCGACGGAAAGTGACCGACTGCGATGACCACTGAAAACGCTTCCCCGGTGCTTCAACAATATCCTTATCAATGGTTCCGAGAAAATATCCTCCTTCTAGACCCTCGGGAGAGAAATATGTAGTTTGTATCAAAACAGGGAGCAAGAGGTCGTAGCTGATTTTGCTCCTCTCGTGATCCGACAAAAGCTCAAAAGTATGATTCAGGACCAAAGTGATACACTGCGCATCGATGCCGTCTCGGGAATCCAGCTCCTCAAGTGCAAGTTGCGCAGCCGTGACGAGTGCCGACTCGAGTTTCGTACGTATTCCCCACGGTAGGCTCTGTCTGTTCTGACCTTCAAATCCGATCAGAATACCACCCAATAAGAGTAAATGTCTCCAACGTGGTGATTTCTCATCCGCTCCGCTCACGACTGCTTTCACCCAATCTTCGCGTTCAATCTTCCTCGGTTTCACGTATGGTAATCTAGGTTCCGCCGGCTCATCGTTTTGTAATATCGCAATGGCCGCTGTATTGAAGACACTGATGATTCGTCGACATGCCTGTAGGTCAACAGGCTGTTCCCATATCGCAGGGGCGGATAGCAATTGCGAGGCAAGCAATGTGATATTAAGGGGATTTCCCAGGAGACTTAGAAGACTGGTCGCAGTGGGGAGAAGACTGAAAGCAATATGTCAGTCAAGCATCTTGTGTCGGATAGCCTGGATGAACGTGATCTTACTTGATAGCGTCTCGAAGCTCCGATGTCGATTGAAGCGACCGCAAGAGAGCAGCGAGAGAGTGTTCCGTCGCCATCTTAGACTCACAATGCGAGCGGCACAGCTGCCACCCGTCTCATAGGAAATGGATCTGTGTGACGAAGTGAAGGTGAAGATGTACCAAGATGATCAAGTAGAACAGGACTGGCTGCCGACATCACGCTTACCGCGGAGACCCCAGATCGGCTGCCGAGGTTAGGTTGATAGTGTGCAAACAGTGCAAACAACCCACCACAGCTTCAGATGTTCCTACTCCCTATCTTATCGGCTAGAGCTATCTGGATTGCTTTCCACGTATCGCGTCAGGTCAAGGTTCGCGAAGATGTTTTTGCGCCGCTCCCCTAAGTCGTAAGGGTGCCATGGCAAAGAAGTTCTTTGTCGGTATCCATTCCTGAGCACCATGGCCAACAACCGCGTTCCGATCAACTACCAGACACCACCTTTTCCGGCGCTATACGATCCCGTGCCGACCCATCATCCTCCGCAGGTCTACTATCTCTACTATACACGAGACATTTGGCGATTCACCCTCTACTGGACTCTTATATTTTATGGAGCTAGCCACCTTGCTGTTGCTGCCTGTGCTATGGTCACGCAAGGTCGGAATTGGAGGGTTTGTCTGGCCGTCCCGCTGGTGTTCTCTGCCATTGCCGCACTGGAAGCTCTTTTAGCTGGGAGTATTATTGGTCTCATGTAAGTGCCCTCATTCACAACGATCTCCGATAGCAGATCTAGGCTAATTGGTTTTGAGGCTCGGTGCTGTCTACGAAGCTGGTAATTTCAGGATGTCCACATGGATTCCCATGATATGGGGCGGTATCAACGTCCTGATCCTCATATTGTCCAGTTTTCCCATGCAAGGTGGCCTATGATCACTTGATTCAATCAACTCAACCCGAATCTTTGGAGATAGATTAGACCCAATTGCCGTCAACCGGATTCCCAGAAAAAAAGATTCTATCGACAACAAGCGACTATTCGCATAACAAACGGTATAAATATTCGACCACAGGATATATCACACTTGCAAAAAACTATTCTCCTGAGAAAACGCCTAGCTGCATCCGGAAGCTGAAATATCGCTCGTCTTTACGCCATATCCCCGTCGAACTCAGTATAAACATCCGAGCATGCGGTGTCTCATCTTCGATATGCGTTGTCGGGCGTGCTGCTTTGCAGACCGGGGAGCCCCGCGGGACCCAGAGATGCAGCCAAAGAGGCGAAATTTTGAGGAGAAATGCCCTGGGAAAGGAGCTGCTTTTGTAGCTCCGCAAGGTCAACATTCAACGGCGGAGTACCTGACATCGCAGGGGTCATGGGAAATCCAGGAATGCCTGTGGTCGGAGGAAAGTTGTGTGGCTGAGAGGGGTTTTGTTGAGACAGAATCGCTGCCAGGCGGCCAGGGTCCATTTGAGGCATGGATGCAGGCATCCCAGCTTGCGGCGCAGATTGTGGAGCACCAATACCTGGTAACAATGAGCCAGATCCTGCCTGCAGAGAACCAAGACCAGGGGGAGCAATCTGGATCCCGGGGAGAGTCTGGCCGGTAGTATTCTTCTGGTCAGCCAAGCTTTCAGCCTCATCTTGTGCCTCTTGCTCTTCTTCTTCACGCATCTGTCGCCTTCCAAACCCACGACTCCATGTTCCTTGGGCTTCGGCAGCCTCCTCGCCGATGTGGAATCTGTCTTTCATGTAACTAGTCTCCCCTGGTCTTGCTCGAGACCAGAAGCGCGTGAAATTGTCTTTCGAGCCCGATGCCAAGATGTGACCCAGAGGATGCCAATCGAGTGACCAGATGGTCGCACTATGGGCATATTGGATCCGATGGGCAGGGTAGATGACCTGTGCTGGGGTATTCGCAGGATCAGGACTGTCGTACGGGGCAATTGTAGGAACCTGTCCTGATGGAAGGTTGGGTTCATCAAGTAAATAATGGTATAATGATCCATCCTCGCTCCCCGTGGAAATGAGGGAACTGTGAATAGGATGCCATGTAAGAGATGAAATAGGCTTCTCATGCCCCCGGAGAATGCAGATATCCCGCATCATGCGTAGATCAAACACTCTCGCAGTCTGGTCACGCGATGATGTAGCGAGAAGATTGCTGTTTACCCGCGAGAATCGGGTAGTCGTGACAGTATTCTTATGGCTGTGGAGGGTCGTCAAGCACCTAGCGGTGCGAGGATCCCAGAATTTCACCTGGTGGTCTTTCGATCCGGACACCAGAAGGCCTTTTGTCGGGTGCCAATCGCACGATTTGACATCCCAGTTGTGACCTGTAAGAACGGTGTCGGCAGTTCGTGAGGTGAAGTCGAAGATCTTTAGAGTCGTATCATCAGATGCGGACAGGAATTTGGTGTCGCTCGGTGACCATGCTAAGTCTCGTACGGCATCGTGATGTGCATCATCGATCGTCTCCACGTTGTTAAAATTAGGTCGCCAGTATTTGATGTCGCCCTTTTGTCCTCCTGAGATCAGCCAGTCATGGCTATGCGACCACGCTATCGAAGTTACTCCTGCTTGTAACTGATCATAATGTGCCTGCTCAAATGATCAGCAAAAACCACCCCAAGTACGATGATTGGTCGGGTGGAAGCAAACGCACGTCCATGACGGTCTCAAAGTTGAAAGCCGTTCCGTTCCATAGCATAAATTCGCCAGTATGTCCTCCAGTCAACAAGCGTCTCCCTTCCGGTGTCCACCTCACAACTGTGATAGGTTTCTTCGATTTACCGATCGACTGGTGTAGGTGTCGTACGGGTATCGTATCTGCAGGAGAATGGATTCGCGCCAACGGCGGAAGCATCTGAGAAAAGAGCGGCCGGTTAGTTGGCATCGTTCAGCTGGGCGCGGACGTCCGTAGCCAGCGCGTATTAACTCACATCAACTACATAGCTTGCGCTTGGTCTCTCTGTCTCCATCCGATGACCTCCTTTGTACCGTGGTTGTCGTGTGCGCATCCATTGTACGAGCGATGAGCCGTAATCAGTAACCAGTCCTTTGAATTAAGAATTAGCGTCGCAACGACGGAGTCGGGAATTCCTTCAGAGAACCTACTCGGTCGTCGGGGTCCCGCAATTCCACCCTCGTATGGTTTTCTTCCGTAAGGCTGGGAGTCGCCGGCCGCATCATCGTAAAAAGCCATCGCTACGCGACTTCGTCTGGAGATGGATTGCTCACGACAGGGCTGTAATCATGACAGGGAAGCTGAAAATCGAGCTGAAAAGAATTGACAAGCTTTGGTGCGTATCGCAAAAAGAGCTACTTTGAGCGAGAACGCATCAGCAGCCTGCAATGGTGAGCTCTGGTCGAATTATTAGTGTGTTTTGTCGTCGATGGCTAGAATCAAAAGTAAGGTATGATCGGGGGCGGTCGAACCTCCGTCCGTGAAGTCTCCCCACTCGTGGTTCAGATGGACATCTCCAATTCGTACGGATTCTTGGCAATCCAATGGTGTCTATCAAACATTTATCTATTAAAATCGTTTGAATCCGACTTTGCAAGACGAAGATGTCTCCATCAAATGTAAATTTACTAGAGACGAGGTCCGCAGACAATGCGGACCTAACCACAATCTTCAGCGTCCGGGACTTTAAGCTGCCAGTATCGAGGGCATCTATGAAGCACCACAAATTCTCCATATATGGTACAAGCTTCTTGTCGCGACTCCCTTGCTCTTCTGCGCTTTTGCTACAGCTCCTCAGTGACATCTAGAATTCTTGCCATCACATGCTGTTATGACTTCATAGAGGTTTCTTTCCTCATCCGAAAATGGACTATACAGCAGCACTCCTAGCCCGGCAAGGTAGTCCTTGTTTTCTGCTTCGCGCAAGACACAGCTTCTCATCTGGTCTTGCGGGTCTTGCTTCCGACATAGACTCATTCAAACATGGGGTCGTCAAACTTATTACAGTTCCTGGCCGACGGATCCGCCGCAATCTATTCAGCTGTACGAGCGCAAGACACCCCTAGAGTCGATTCCAACTGACTGATTTCGTAAACACTCGATGGCATATAATTGTCTGGCAGTAAAGATCACCTAAAAGATTGAGTATTGGACTTCTTGTAGGCGATGTTTGTGCGTCAGTTTGATAGGCTCCAAATTCGGTACCTGTCAATCCAGATTGTTAATTTGTTGATGCACTCAATGTTCTGATGCTGTTTTCCTTTGTATTGAGACAGCACAACGCCAGGTTCCAATCAAGGCGAGAGATAAGGAAAGAAGGACCTAGATTCTTTCCTTAGTGCAGCAAGCAGACAAGGATAGCCATTAACTGAGCGATAATGAATCGAATCAAGGACCTTGTGCTGTCGGAGACGATGTCAACGGCGTCTAGGCATGCATTTGGCGCAGTGGTGATGCATTCGTGCGTGGGTCAAGCGCATGCGAGCGTGACGGAAGCCCGCAAGGTGACTTGATTAATAACGGTCCTCGCCGGTCGAGAGGTACCTTAGACTTTCATACCCCGGTCGCCCTCGAGAGGCCTTTGCTCAGACATTGCTGCGAAATGCGTAACCAAGAAACCCCACCATGGTGCTCTTGAGATTTATTTATCTCGCCTACGTCCTTTCTTGGTATCACCATCCAGATTCATCTTTCTTGTCATGGTAGAGCAGAGCGAAGCTCAATTGCTGGCCTGTCGCTTCAGTGTTCCGAGGTATCTCCGCAATTGAACTGCGAATCAACTAGAGCTCTCCATCCTGTCACTCATTTTCCTCGGAGATTTTCATTTCCTCACTCGCAGTGCTGAGGTTTGTGCGACACTTCACGAAGATGAGTGCTTCCGAACCAGTATCTTCGTCGGCCAGTGCTGTTAGCACGAGCTCTGGAGGGTCGACTCCGTCAAAGCTCGTGAATGGAGCTACCCGCAATGGTTCCGCAGCAACTGGCAACGGCTCTATCGGGACAAAAGGGAAGAGGAGGAGCAAATATCGCCATGTTGCAGCTTATCATTCGGAGCTGCGGCATTCGAGCCTCAGTCGAGAGACCAGTGTGGTCCCAAGTTTTCTTGGATTCCGGAATCTCATGGTGATTGT